AGAGAGAGAGAGAGAGAGAGAGAGAGAGAGAGAGAGAGAGAGAGAGTCTCCTTTTTTTGCATGAGGGGGGGTATTCTCCAAATACCCCCGTAAGTTGAGACATATCTCGAAATGTCCCTTAAGAAATATGGGCCCAGTGGACTGGCCTTTTGGGCTGACATGGTTGTGTTATGCCCCTGTCACGTGAGTGTGCAAAGAGAGAGGGGGGGGGAGAGAGAGGGAGTCATATTGCCGCCAAAGAGAAACAGCAGACACAAAGAATGGTATGTCTGAGAGAGAGAGAGAGAGAGAGAGAGAGAGAGAGAGAGAGAGAGAGAGAGAGAGAGAGAGAGAGAGAGAGAGAGAAGTCTCTTTTTTTGCATGAGGGGGGGTATTCTCCAAATACCCCCGTAAGTTGAGACATATCTCGAAATGTCCCTTGAGAAATATGGGCCCAGTGGAATGGCCTTTTGGGCTGACATGTTTGTGTTATGCCCCTGTCACGTGAGTGTGCAAATTCACTTAACCTTTTGTAGTTGCGCCTACGAAAGCTTGGCAACTGCCTGGCCATTCTGCAAAGTTGGGCTGTTTCTAAATATGTTTTTGTCATTGTCCTTCGCCGCAGAGTGGCTGCGGCGGGTCCACTTGTTGTTATTATTATTATTTATCGAATGAAGAGGTTGGGGAGATAAGGAGGACGAAATGAGTTGCGAGTGAAGAGGGATTTGTCATTGGCCTTTGCCGGTGTACATCTTCTTCTTCGTCTTTCCTTCTTATTTCTTCTTCTTCCTATGTCTATCTCTCTTTCCAAGGTCTTTCATTTCATTTGCAATTGAACGGAATTGTCTTTACTTGTGTTATAGCACTTCGGAACAGCCAGGATCATAACAGGTATATCACAAACAGAACTTACCACTAATGAACTGCGTAATGATAGTGCCGCTCCAGTTGGTAGTTCCTCGAAATCACGCTGAACCTGATCAAACAAGAGCACACAAATTGGGTTGCGCACAAGAATTGGGTGAGTACAAGCACTGCATTCGCCACAAGAACGAGTTCAGAAGAATGAGGTTAATCACAAGCACAACTTATGCAAGCAGAAGAACTGCATTCGACATTGACACACAAGAATGACCACGCGAAATGAGTTTAGGACAAGCACACACATGAACACAGCAATTGCACTCCAAGGATAGGGTACCCTACCCTACCCTAGTAGGGTATACACGACCCAACCCTAATAGGGTATACACGACCCTACACCAGGGTATACCCTACCCTACCCTACCCGTCACAGGAGCATAAGAACACAAGAACCAGGTTTAGCACAAGTACAGAAATACAAAAGTTTTTTTTTCTTTTTCTTTAAAGGCTAGTTCTTTTTAAGCCCAACCAAATCACTTACCTGTCAAATCTGGACAGGACGGGCTTCCAGACCTTTTTTATTATCATTATCGTATTAAGGGGAACCCCGTAGCAGCCACAACCATGTTCAACCGGGGAACACGCGGGAGCTGCACCCACCAGCAGGTGGGCAATACCGGGCAGGGGTCTGCCAGTAGCAACAGGACCGAGCTTCTTCAATGCCTCCCTTCCGGTCCCCTTCCCCTGCGAACATCAGCAGTCTCTGCTCGATGCCGCTCAGGAGAGCAAGCCCAAGTACGAGAATACTAGAGCTGCACGGGGAACTGCATTCAGCCCAAGTCCACGAACAAGGGCCAACAGGAACCATCACCAGATGAGCCAACAGGAACAATCAAAGGCCAAGATCGACCAAGATTACGACAAGAACACGAGAGAAAGGCCCAAAAGGAACCATCAACACCATCATGGACCAGATGGACCAACAGGAACCACCAAAGGCTCAGATGGACCAACAGGAACCACCAAAGGCCCAGATGGACCAAGTTCCAGACAACAATTAGCCAGATAGACCAACACGAAAAAGAGAAAACAGACCAGGAACCATCAACGGACCAAGTTTACGGCAAGAAACGAGAAAAAGGACCAACATGAACCATCGATGGACCAGGAAACACGAATGGACCAGAGGAACCAGGTGGGCCAGCAAACATCAATGGACGAGGTTAACGACAGCATTGAGCAGTTCTCAACAAGAACAAGAGAACGAGGACTGGCAGGAACCATCAACGCACCAGTCCCAAGTACCACATCCTTCCTGTGGGGATCTCCGGCCCAGATGTCATGTGCATTATTATCACCCCATCTGGATCTCGGACCTGCTTAAACCACCACTCCATCCAGACCTCTACTTTGACATACCAAAAGTTGCAGTTCCCCGAGCGTAATATCTACAGTGCCCACCCCCCCCCCCTGACAAAAACCACATCTGGTACCCTTCCCCACCGAACCTCTACCAGGCCTGGGCACTACAGATTTTGGCCCGATACTTGTAGACAAGAAAAATGAACTGTGCAGGGGCCGTTGGAGTGGTGATTTAGAGCACCAGTACACGGGCACCTGGGCCGCGGGACTGACAGCTCAAATTCTGGAGGCGTGAAACGAAAATGCAGCCGCCAATCGAATTTATCAACGGCGGCCCCAGCCTTTGACGTTTTGGCCCCGTTTTCTTGTGGCAAAGTGTTGGACTGCAAGGCTGCGGCCGTGTACTTGTTGTGGCTTAAGGCCAGAGCCCACTAACCAATAGATTAGATAGACGAGAAAGACCGGACCGTCACATTTCAATCAGACCGTTGCTTGGTTTGCAATTAGCAGTTCTTGCAATGATTGGTACACGCAACTCTATGATTACATTCTTTTGGCTTGATTGCGATTGTTTTCGTTGTTTTTCTTTTTTTGTTTGTTTTGCATTATTGCCATTGTTTCACCTCCTAATCTCTTACTCCACGCTCCCTTTACCCAAAGCTTAGGTACCCCGTCTTTCACGTTTCGACTTAGCGTGAATCACCCCACTTGGTGGGCAGTAGATCACTGCCCTTGGTTTCTTTCTGTTTCCAAGGAGCTTCGCCCCTAACATTATTGTATCCATTAAGATTCAAACTCGCGATCTGTTTATCGACAGCTACCAGGTGTGCTATTGAGCCACCGACAACTTAGCATGAATCACCACTTCGGGGGCAGTAGATCACTGCCCTTTGTTTCTACTTCAAAGTTCAAACTCATGACCAACATTTTTTTGAGTTTTTTATTACCTTGAGGCATACCTTTGCCACTCGCACCTTTTCAGTACTTGTTGCACTAGTGTCTTATTGTTCTCACGCACTAAGGACATACTCATGCCAGGACTTTTTTGCTTGTTTATGGACGTGAATGCCGTCGGATACATCCAGGCCCAGCTGTAAATGCGGTCAGATACATTTAAGATACGACGCAGGTGTCAGCACTAAATCTAGGAATATGTCTATTTGCCAATATAATGGCTGGACAAACATCACTGATGAAAGGCCTTTCACGATTCAGGCCCCAAATTCGGGTCACAGGGTCAGAGGCACTGGCCAAGAAAGGCCGAATTAGTCAAATTTAGAAAAAGTCACAGTCAGGTACCTCAGCAGTCCAGTCCAACAGGCACCCAACAAAAAGTCACACCTCAGGGGCAAAAGTCACGTCTCATAATGAAAAGTCATATCGAAGAGTCACATCCCACGAGTGAAAGGGCAGTCCCATAGGCCAGAATCGTGTCTCAGAGGTAGGAGTCACAATCCACAGTCAAAAGACTCAAAACCATATGCTAAAATCGAAAAGTCATGACTCAAAGGCCCAAGCAGCAGCAGACCCATGGAAATTCGGGAAGGTTCTAGGCCTTGACATTCGAAAGCAGACAGGCCGTGGGGATGTGGTACCGGGACCTAGTCAGGCCCCAAGAAGCAGAGGCTGGCACGAGTTGAAGTGCAATCCAAGACTACAAAAGGACTGGCCAGCCTCCCATTCGGGAGATTGCTCATTCACATGAAGTGTGGAAGTGCTGGTGCAGAGCGCTGAAGCCAGAGTGCTGCGCTAAGAGAGAGGGAGAGAGAGGAAGAGATTGCGCTGGCAGGGGGGAGGCAGCCATAGCTGCGCCAGTGCAGAGTGTTAGTAGTAGACTTTAGAGGGTTAGTAGACATATCAGTGGGTGTATTCAGAGTAGATCCTTGAGTAGAGTTAGTGAGTGTGCACGCATGTAGGGAGAGAAGACACAGCTAGGACATAGCTAGGGAGAAGACCAGCGAGGAGAAGAGATTCATAAGAGAGAAGAGCAATGGGGAAGAGATACTTACCTGAGAGCTTATGCTGGTTACTGGTTACCTTTCATATGCGCTGATGAGCGCTGGCGACTTGAACTCCTATTGCTCTTGTAATTACTTGTTGGAATTCTGAGCTGCGCTAGATGGTCTTCACCTCTCTGGTCTCCAGTGTGAATCTCGTGTGATCTCATACATGCATGTCGTGTGATTGTGTGCACTCAAAGATGTTGAACTAAGAGGCTCGTTGCACTGAAGATTTTGACTGGTTTTGCTTGGACTATGCTGTCTGTGGGAGGTATCATCATGTATTTAGCTTTTCTTTCTCTTTGCTTTGAAGTAGCTTTGCTCCAAACGCTATTGTATCCATTACGCTCTGCTTACCAACAGCTATGTTGTCTATACATTTGTCTGCCAATATAAAGGCTACACCATACTTTAGCGAAGACGTTGAGTGGTTTTGCTTGGACTATGTTGTCCATGGGAAGTATCATGTATTTAGCTTTTCTTTCTCTTTGTTTCGGAGTAGCTTTGCCCCAAACACTATTGTAACCATCAGGATTTGAACTCATGATCTGTTTATCAACAGCTATGTTTTGTCTACGGGAGTTATTATCATGTATTTAGCTTTTCTTTCTCTTTGCTTTGAAGTAGCTTTGCCCCACCCAGTATTGTACCCATTACGATTTGAAGTTTGAACCCATGATCCGTTTATCAATAGCTACACGGGTGTACCATACCATTCAGCCACTGACCTTTGTTCTCAGAGTCTGGGCGCAAAAGTACTGCACCTCGAGGCTACTCCCAGCTTCATGTAAGAGACTGTCCGATATCTGTGAAAACCAACAGCAACAGATTAAGAGTTCAAATCCTAATGGATACTACTACAGAGAGATCATCAACAGAAACGAGGGGAAAAAAAAAACAGCGCTACAAGCAATCATCAATCATCAATCATCAATCATCAATACTACCTGTAGAGGTTAGTTGATTGATTCAGGCCTTCAAGAGAGAGTGCAAGCAAAGAACACAACTTGCCAGAAACCTGAACAGCATAGCCATAAGAAGAATAGCCACAGCATGAATGGGGGAAAGGGGAATAGCCACAGCCTGAATGCAACAAGGAGAATAGCCACAGTCACAGTGTGAATGGCAACCGGAGAAAAGCCACAGCGTGAATGACAAACGAAGAATAGCCACAGCGTGAACGGCCCGAGGAGAATAGCGGCAGTCACAAGCAGGAATGGCACAAAAGAAATAACCACAGCGTGAATGGCGCACCGAGAATAGCCACAGCGTGAATGGCACATTTGAGAATAGACACAGAGTGAATGGCCCTGGGAGAATAGACACTCACAGCATGAATGGCACAAGGTGTGTAGCCGCGGCGTGAATGTCAGATTGAGAATGGCCACAGTGCGAATGGCACAGGGAGAATAGCCACAGCCACAGCGTAAATGGAACAAGGAGAATAGCCACAGCATGACTGGCACAGGGCAAATAGTCACTGCCACGGCCACTCTGGACCCAGCCTCAGATTTCTATTTCCAGTTTTGTGCCCTCGGAACTAGTTTTTTCTTTTCAATTTTCAGCCTGCCACCATCAACTACTGTGCCTTATGCTGACACAGATATAGGCACAGACAACTTAACAAGTCAAAGGAAAAAGGGAGGGGGAGGAGCGGAGGAGGAGGGAAATCAACTGCATGTCCGCTTCCTATGCTTCATTAGCATGAACATGGACGTGAAAATCGACCACATTCAGACTTGGCATTGGAGAGAGCTCCTTACAATGCCACTCCACACCAGCTTCGTACCTGTCTTCTGTAAAACTATGTGAATCGTGACCATAGTGCAGACCGGATTCATGCTCACCACACACACAATAGCAGCGAATCGTGACCATCATCCAGACTAGATTCATGCTCAGCATACACACAGTAGCAGCGAATCATGACCATCATGCAGACCAGATTCATGCTCAGCGTACACACAATAGCATACACTGTAAATCTCATCCTTCAGTTGTTGAGATACGAGCAGGCACAAGTTCTGAGTTTATGTCCGGCCTTACACATCTTCTCTTCTTTCATTTGATTGCAGCTGGATTCGACGTTGGGTCTGTATTTCAACACTTTATTTGTGCCGCATGCCTAAATGGCAAAGATCAGAACCAAGAACAGACCTCTCAGAGACGATACAAAAATAGAGCAGTGGAAGACTGAAATACCAAGATCTGACTCAGCATGGACAATGACAGGACCTGACACGACCAATCACCACACACTGTGAATGGGCTCAGCGCAGCAAGCACGGAAGACGCGCCGTAGCCCGATGAACCCAGTCTCCAAGGTATCCCCCAATGTCGCTGCTCATAGCCTCATACAACGTCAAGTCGCAATGTCACTGAACTACCAGTAGGCGAAGCCCAAAAGTCACCAGGTCTCAATGTCAACCCTCTCTCTCTCTCTCTCTCTCTCTCTCTCTCTCTCTCTCTCTCTCTCTCTCTC